AAACAATATGCATGTCCAATTTTTAGTTTTTGAGATATTTTAATCGGTATAAAAAAGCACTTCAATTAGTCTTTACCCGAGCGTTACACATCGGAGAGCTGACGGCTCAGTCTAATTCACTCTCCAAAAAGAAGTAATGCAAAACGCACCTTAAAGATGTCAAAAACCTAACCATACTTAAAAAGCTTTGTTCCAATTGTAGTAATTTTTGTTGGGAAAAACGGTACTTTTTGGTGACAGGATAACAAATCACGTATTTTTTTTTTGCACAACTTGAGGTGAATTACAAGTTTTCTCTGCTAAACCTCAACTTAATTAGTTCACACTTAAAGCCTATTAAACGAGGAAGTTTTACTAAAAGTGGGGTATCTGTTGTGTAATTGAATGATGATAAAAAGAAGGAATAATTTACAATTTTTTTAAAAACAGAACTAATTTAGTTTAGCCGCACTTAAGCTCTAAAATGGTTTTAACGATGACAGACTCTTCTTTCATTTAAAGTAATTTTTGTATAGTTTGCAGTAAAGCATTTAAAAAAAAAAAATGTATTCGAAGTTTCCACTAATAGTTGGGTTTCCTTAACTTAAAGTGCTTGGATGGCTTCTTTCTATAATGTCCTATTTAAGGTCTATTCTTCTCGTAGACCACGACCCAGCATGGATTCCTCCACTTCGTTATTCCAGGTCTTCCTCGTCTTCTTCTTTTCCTAGATTTCTTTGGGTAGTCTTCCTTCAGGCATTCTTTTCAAATATCCATATCACTTCAGGCGTTTTCTCCCAATCTCTTCCAGAATGGTTCTTTTAACCTCCATCTTTTCTTTGATGACCGTATTTCTCACTTCATCCATTCTGTTTATTCCCGCCGCTCGTCTCCAGTAGTCCATTTCGGTGGGTAGAATTTTCTTCCTGAGGTTTGCTTTATTGTCCAATACTATAGTATAATTTTTAATTACTTAAATTAAACATGTCTATTAAAAGAAAACACGACATACTTAAATAACGCAAAACTTAGATTTCCTACGTTTCTGCTGAAAATTAACCAATTGTTTATATGAACTTTTTTTGTAGATCTAGAGGTCTGCTATCATTCCTATAAAAATTTTCCTCTTCTCTGTATATTGACAATACGCATTAATAGATGTATACAATATTTAAATGATTTTATTTTTCTCATTCCAATGATGTATGTTCAAAATATTATTAATTTATATTTAAATATATATTATAATATGTATTTCTATTATATCTCGCTTATTAGACTCTTGAAATATTAAACCTATCGACTCCCATTCTCCTATGTCGGAAATAAAAGCCGCGGTTCTTCCAACTCTTGTCAGATCCCACGCGCTCATAAAAACGTGCCTTCTCCAAGAAGTGGAAGAACAAGGCGCTGATGTGTTTGCTCTTCGGACGTGACCCGTGTCACTCTTGTAATCTCCTCTACGTGATCTGAACTGCCAGGAGGGTGTGTTACCTTTATAAATATTGTTTGTTGTTGTTAGGCGATTGTACTTCCGAGATATCGCGGCGTATCTTTTCTTTTGTCTCGTGTACATAGCAAACATCGAAGGAGTAGGTTAACTGAAAAAAAAATAATACCTTTACATATACCTGTGAACACAATAAAGAAAAAATAATAAAATTATTTCTTAGGTTTTAGTTTCTTTAATTTTTTACTTTCACTTACCTATATATGAAATATTTCGAATCTGAATTTTCATCGGAAATACATGAGATTCTTTGAGTCCAAATAACCAAGTCCTCCAAAATGGTCTGTGTGTATGTTATGTCAGTCTAGTTCAAAAACGAAATGTCGTACGAAAACGAAATTGCATATTTAACGTTTCTATATGCTCGGAATGTTTTACAGCAACTTTTTCGTCAAAATCGGATAAAAAATGTGGCACTTCATATCACGGACTAAACTAAATGTTTACGATTTTCTCGAATATTGCTATAACGATTTTTATTAAATACGTTATATCAGTGTATTTTTTTTTAATCTAGTATAGGTAGGAAAGTAATAAGTTAAAAAATGTGTAAAAAATAGAATAAGCTGTATCATCGCTAATACATTCCCATGATTTTTTTTTGTTTTGTTGGTAATTTAATTACCCTTCAAAAGTTTTATTATAAATTTTATCGTATAATATATACTTAGGGAACTAGGCCACATAACATTTTTCTTTTCTTTGTAACTTTTTTTCCTGATTTTTTTTTTCGGAAATTTAGGGTATATACGAAAATTGAAAGGATAATGATTAAAACATTATAGGAAAGTTTCATCAAAATCGTTAGAGCCGTTTTCGCGCTACAGTCTATAGAAAAACATGTTTTTCATTTATTGCGCTCAAGCTATTGCGCATGGAGCAACGAATTTCTGTCACATGCATTAGTAGTCAAAACCCTACAAAATAAAAAAAGAAGCAACAAAATCGCTTCTCTAGTTCCCGAGAAAATTTTGGCAGACAGACAGATCAATGGATAAAAATGTATTTTTCGGACTGAGGGGGCACTGAAACGTATAGATCCGTCGAAAACCGCATATCGGAAATTTGACCCGATCGCAATACTTTCCTTACCTAGTATAGGTAGGAAAGTAAGAAGTTACTGTTGGTTTCTTTCCCCTTACTCTTCTTATATAAGTGACAGTTGTAATATTTTATGAATGGTTTTAAAAACATGCTTGACAAATCAGGTTACTGATGCGCAGTCCTTTAAAAGCAAAATATCAAGTGGGCGATATTAAAATATAATAAACCACAAGTGTTTACTCGAGATATTCAGATATCGATTATTGTATATATTAATTAAAAGTATTTCAAGTGTAAGATTTTCTCTTGTTCCGTGTGAATCAATTGCCAATTAAAAAAAATAACTGTTATTTTGCGGCAAACTTTTACGTAATTGATGCAATTTAAATTAAAAAAAACGAATGAAATAGACGTCTAATTGAAAGTCAAGTCAAGAGGTCCAAGTCGTTTTTTCTTTCTTGATATTGGGTCAAGTGAATAAATAAAAAAAAGTATATAAAAAAATGAAGTGGGACCCCCTCCCCTATGGTTATGTTACACCAATCAAGACTTAATGGAGGGTCTAGTACTTTGTAAGGAAGAACTTTTTCTAGGTCAACTATTGAGTAAAGTGGTGGTTTGACATACATAGTTTTTTCTTCCTATAATTAATTATTTACTTTGCAGTAACCATTTTATATAGGCTGGGTGTGTCTACGAGGATCATTAAACCCCAATATCGAACCACGGCTGATGTAACAGAATAAATAATTAATTGCCACAGCTGGACTCGGAGCATATGGACACAGTGCCTTACTCACTGAGCTACCGCGCTCTCACAAAAATTAATACTAGTCATATATAGAATAGAATAGAAAATTGAACTTTATTCTTTGACTAAGTCCCCTTAATAACAATAAAAATAACAAAGATGAATTAATACAAAAAAATAAAATAAATGTTGGCCAAAAACTAGCTTATACAAATAAACAACAAAATAAAAAAATAAATGAACATAAAATCTCCTCAAGTACACTATTTATAAACATTAAGCTAACTAATAAAAATTAACTTAATACAAAATGTAATAATATCTACCGTGATTTACATAATAATATGCAAACACTAAAAGAAATAAAAATAAAATCTTCTGAGGAATACTTGTAGTGTAATGGAAAATAAAAGAAATATATATATATATATATATATATATATATATATATATATATATATATATATATATATATATATATATATATATATATATATATACATATTGGTTCACAGAGAGACCAAATGTATAACCTGGGTAAATAAAAAGAAGACGAAAACAGTAATATAATAAGAAAACAAAAGTAATAACACAAAGGCATTGATTTATATGCTAAAATATAAAAACTAGGCTAAATTAATAAATTAACATTATAAAATAATATGTTAACAGTTAAACAACAAATTTTCTCAAGCGTGATTATAGTTGAAATGGAGAAATAGATAGAAATGGAAAATAACTAATAACAATATCAAAATTTATATAATTTTTTTTAAGCTATTAAAGAGGCCTGTAAATAAAGATAATTATGTATTAAGTACATACAAAATATATTATATAATATATATTAATAAGGATAACAATTATACAATCCTGAAAAAAAAAAATAAAAAATAAAATCTTTCTTAGTAGAGCTTTGTGAATAAGGTCATTTTGTCTTCAAATTTATTTGGTGGGTGAAATGTACATATTTATGATAAAGAACCTTATTTTTTGAGATCTTTAGATATAATATTTATAAATATTCTAATATAATATAATATTTAGTCAATATATGATTAACCGTTTATATAAAAAGACATCTTTAATCCAAGAGTATTTATTTTATAAATAAAAAATCAATTTAACCATACTTTTTATTCTAACGTTTCGACTTTAAAAGCGGCTTTCAAAAACATAAAAAAATACCATAGTCAAAAAATTATCCATTTAAAATTACTACTTTGTGGCATTCTTACCACATCCTATAATATACATCATCATATACATCATATAATATTTCAGTATGTTTTCCCCTTCCTCATTTTGTCAAAAACAATACATAAGCCACTTCAATGTCATAATTCAACAAACGTATAATAAATAATATTTTATTAAAATGTTTTTTACATATTTATTTTCGAAAACCTAAAGCCGTAGATCTTCCCATATTGTATAGGACAAAGTTTCGAATTTTTAACTATTATTGACCAAATTACCGTCGTTTCAAAATGTAATAACTTTTCTTCAAAAATTGAATTCACTTAAAGTTACAAAAGTAAAAATGTAAACATAGTTAATAGAATTAGGCATATGAAGTACAAAATGCTTTTTGTTTTTTTTATCATGATCTTTAAAAGTCTTTACCCTTTTATGAAATTGGATTGAAAAACTATATTTTTAAAAAACATGTTTTTTTTTATTATTCATTTGTTATAATGTTCAAACTTTGTTTAGTGAAATTAATACAATCTGGACGGAAGGCACACCATTGCGTGCTATCATGATCACCGTGGCCATATCTGTGCATCAAGTCTTCGAGGGTTTGGCAGTTGGGTTGGAAGGACATTCAAACCAAGTGTGGATATTAACTGGTGCCATAGCGGCACACAAGGTAATTCCTTTTGAAGTCACATTTATATTTATTTTATTCTATATTTTTTTAATTTTGATACATTCTCATAAGAAACATATATCTCACATAAGCATCATTTTTCATACAACTCTTAAATATTTTTTTAGGCCTGTACTAATCTCCCATCTTTCTTGGCCCATGAATACACTTCAGTGTCTTCCTCTCTGTTCTGTTCGGTACTGATAAATCCCATTGTCTCAATTCCGCACAACACTATAGATTTAACTAATATTTCATAATGTCTTAGCTTTTCATAATGTCTTAAGAAAGATTCTTCTTATTATTTATATTTTTATATCTGAGTTAAAGTGGCTCTTCTCCTCCATTCGAAGACAACATTTCCCAGGTACGTTCCTCTATCAAATCATCAACAACCATTGTCCTTTTCACGCCTACTAACTTCTCCAATTCAAGTCCTCAGTCCATTCCCTGTCCACAAGATCTCGACCTTCTAACCTTTACATGCCTTCTCACAGATCTGCCTCATTCCAAAACTCCTTTATTGCTCGCTCTGTCAATTTCTGTAATTCCAACCCTATCAAAATTCGACATTCCCCATCCATATCCATATTCAAAACCCTCCTATTCCGATTCCTATCCCAAAAACAGTCATATAGTTGCTAACCATTCGACAAAATACATTTACTTCATGCCATTCATTGTCAAATATCAATGCTGTTCTTTGCTAGGAATATTAATTTTCTTATAGAGTAAAGATTTTTCTACTTTTGATGTCACTGAACGCATCTATTGGTTGTTTATAACTATTATCTTTTATACACCACTAAATTCTTGTATATCGTTACGTTAATAAATGATGATAATGTATTAATGTATTATTGAAAATTTAAATGATAATGTATTTATATATTAATCAGGAACTTTATATTGTCAGACTGAGCTTTCTTTTTCTCAACAGAAACACAAAGCTTATTTTAATAAAGAATTTAATATTTTTTTCTTTCTGGTCTAACACTGCAAAAAGTTTTAAGTGTCTTGTCATAGTGTTAAGTTTTTTGTTTATAGTTCCATTTGTTTTGTATATAGAATGTTTACCTTATATTTTCTTTACATTATTTCTTTTTTTCTATTATTTTTAGTTAGGCCAGATGTAATCTTTTAATTTTGTTCTATTTTGTTATTCTTAAGAGGCTTTGTCCTAAGAATAAAGTTATTTTCTATCTATCTATATATCTTGGCACCCCTTTTCGCTCAAACTTTCTTCATTTTTTAACTTTTAACTAATTTCCATCCTTCCTTTGTTCCCTTTTCTATACCAAGGACCTTAATATTATTCACTATTTCCCCTTATTTATCCCTATCTAGGTATTCATCTTATATTATCCTAAGTTTCACCGTTTTTCCTTTAATCCAGGATATCCTATTACTTTATCAAATATCTGTATTTTTTTTTCTATTTTTACTCATTCTCTTCACTGGTCAAAGAATTTCAATCTTCTTTTCTTCATTGGTGTTTCTAGATCTTCGACATCTAAAACTTAAACTATTCTTAATTCTTTTTAGGCTTGTGCTCATCTCCCATCTTACGTAGTCTAAGGCTACACCTTAATATCTTCCTCTCTGTTTCCTGTAGCTTTCCGGTATTGGTATGACTGTATTGAATGAAGACTGTACAATATTGTCTTCATTCCATACAACACTATAGGTTTAACTAATGTTACATAATATCTTGTTATAAGATTCTTCTTGTTATATATATTTTTAACTATATACCTAAGTTAGTCTAATATAGTGTCTCACCACTACACTGAGTTAAAGTTGCTCTTCCCCTCCGTTCGAAGACAATATTTCATAGGTACGTTCCTCTATCAAATCATCAACAATCATCGTCCTTCTTACGCCTACAACCTTCTCCAATTCAAGTCCTCAATCCACTCCCTTTTCACAAGATCTCGACCTTCCGACCTTTACATTCCTTCTCACAGATCTGCCTCGTTCCAAAACTCGTTTATTGCTCGCTCTGTTAATTTCTGGAATTCCCTTCCTATCAAAATTCGGCATTTTCCCTCCCTATCTACATATAAAACTATTCCAATTTCTATCCCAAAAACAGTCAGATAATCCCCGCTAACTTATTATGTAAATTTATATATTATTCGAAATGATTCACATAATGGTAAATTTACATATAATTCATGACTTAAATACTTACTATCAGATTCTTCTTCTTTTTCTTTTTTTCTTCAGAAACACAGAGTTTATTGCTATCAAGAATGTAATGCATTTATTATTTATTTTTTAAAGTGTATACTTATGTTTTACCACTGTACATAGTTTAAGTATCTCGGCATAGTTTCAAGTGTTTGGTATATAGATTTTTTTTTATTTTGTACATAATATGTTTAACTAATATTTTATTTATCTTTTTTCTTTATTTTACGTTTGTTTTTACTTAGGCTAGTTATAATACTTTATTGTTATTCTAAAGGGACTTCGTCCCAGAGTAAAATTATTTTTCTATTCCATTCTATAATATTATATTATATACCATTAAGTTTGTTTGGTTGCCTAGGCTGTGATCGCGCTGTGCATCGGGGCCGAACTGTCCAACGCTCCGTTCTGGGGAGCCACAACGCTCATCAGCATCTTCACGCTGGCCACACCAGTGGGGATCGCCATGGGAATCGCCCTGTCCGCGGGCTCCACGATGGGGCTCACTGCCTTCATCCTCCAGGGCATGGCCGCGGGCACCCTCCTCTTCGTCATCTTCTTCGAGGTCCTCCGTCCTGAAGGAAACGGCTCCATAAAGAACTACATCGCCACTCTCGTAGGCTTCATTTCCATGCTCACTCTGCTCTACTTCTTCGAAAGTTAGACAAAATCCAGGATCTTCATCTGATGATCTACTCAAACCCTTGAGCGTTATCAATCCGAGTGTTAAGTTATCAACTAAGACGATAATTGAAAGTGTTTTGCGATAATCGAATTTAAAGACTTGAGAAAATAGTGTTGTTTCAGGTGTTACTGTGCGTTCAAAAGTGTTTTAGACATTTAATATGTTTTATGAGATCAAGTTAACTGCTCATATATAGGTGGATTTTTAAGACCGATTATTTTATTATTATTATTTTATCATAAGAGACTGTTTATCAGCTAGAGCTTAAATTAAGCTCAAAGTAGTTGCAAGACGAACTTATTACATCATAAAAGTGTATGATGTAGTTATAATAATGATATGTATAGAAATATTTTTTTCCATAAAGTCTATTCAAACCATCATAAATTATTTTGTTTTTAATTAAAAGGCTATTTGATTACAAAATTCTATATATATTTTATAATTTTAACCTAACGAATCCTAGACCCAAACAATATATTCGAATATTTCTATTCTTTGCATTTTTAAATAAAAAAAAAAATACGTCTAATTATTTAAAAAAACAAGCATGTGAATCTACTATCGCCTTTTTTATGGAGTTTCTCCATTTAAACCTTAAAAGACATTAGTGGGCCAAAACTGATTTTTTTTTTAATAATAAGAAGTAATTTTTATTTTATTAAAACTAAGAATAAAAATATTGGTGTGGGAAACATCAAAGATTTGTTAATGTCTATTGTTTTCATCTTGCACCATCATTAAATAACATATAAATTTATAATCAAACGATTTATTACTTAAGACAAGTTTTGTTTATAAATTACTTTAAATAATTCATAAGGTATGTATTAAACCTATGTATTAAACTCCATAGAAACATGTAATTGAACCTTATAAATCTAAATGGCTATTCTTCAACGTTTCATCTAGAAATTATAAGACATTTGTTTTGTTTTTTTAAGTCAATCAGATCGTTAGAAAAAAAATACACTTGTAATAAAGAAAATATACATATATCATTTTTTTTAAACTTCCATTTATATCCCTATTACTATATGATATTAATTGTTCTAATTAATAAACTACAAATGTTTAACAGGCACCACACTCGGGCTTATACAAATCAATTGCACAATATTACATTAAAATAACGAATACTTCAAGATAATTTTATTGCGATTCATACAGGCTATTAATGGACAACTACCGAAATTTCTAGCAATAGACATAGAAAACTAAAAAGAAGTCAGATGAATGATCTTTTTGGCTAAAAAAAATATAAAATAAGGCAGGAGATTGTATCATTGGTGCATACCGTTGCTCGCATGTTTTGCTTTTCTGTACTTAAATATATTTGTCCAATGTCTCCAATATAAAAACTACCATGAACTACAAAGAAAATAAAATGTGACCAAATTCGTAAATTACACTTTAAGAAAAAGAAAGAGAAATAACCATATCTACCCTAAGGAAATGTAGGGAAAAGTGGGGTAAGATGACTAGTAGAGTATTTTTCACTGCCAATCATAGCAAGCAGACAAATCCTAGACAGCATAAGGTTCGTATACCATAGGACAAAGTAACTCACTAATATAAACCAGTTTGTGCCGCTATTGAGTAAAGTTGTAACTAAAAAATCTGACACTTTGAAGTAATTTTCGAATCCCAAAACACAACAAATAAGTGCAGTCCACGAGCGGATCTAGAGAAGGTGAGGGAGCTTTCGGGCTGAAGCCCCCCCCCCTCCACAAATGGTAAAATATAATCATGTTTTATGGGAATTTTTTTTTTTTAAATACCTCTTAAAGTATTATTGTTCTTGTAATTACATTTAAAAGGACTTAAGGAATCACTTAAACACCATTTCATAAAGGTAATTAGTTTCTTTATGTTTTTCCAAAGTAATTATCGTTATTTTTTTTTAAAAAAAAGGTTTCGGGCTAAAGCCCCCCAAAATTAAATCCTGGATCCGCTAGTGCTGCAGTACAAGGCAAGTTTTCAAGTTTTTTACTATAACATTCTAAATGTACAACTCTATACAAAACACTCATTTTTTAACAATAGTTATGTTCCCTATTTTATTCTTATAAAATATTTATTTTTATTTTTTTTTTAAATTTAAAAAAAATGTAAACATTGACAACTTATATTTATCACATAGATGAAGAAGGAACGCATATAATGATATGAAATTATCCAAAAAATCCCCCAGTGTCTCTGCTGCGGGGTGAATTTAACAGTCAGACATGTTTTGACCGAATGTTATGCATATGAAGTACAACGAAATGAAGTTTAATTGGAGAATGATATTACTGAAATTTTGAAAAATAGCACCAAGTTGGCAAACAAATTCTTTATATTTATTCGAATAACGCACCTATTAAACAAAATTTAAATGTTGCTTCACTGTTTAGGAAATTTAATGTTTTAAATAATTTTTACTTTCAAATCTATTGTTGAACTTCATCTAATGTAATACAAATACAGTGTAAGGGCAAAAATGACCCGTAAGAGGTTGAGGAGTCCTCCATTGTTATAAATAAATAAAAAAAAAAAATCGAAAATAATCAGAATATAATGAAACATATTTTCAATATTTTGAGCTAAAATTGTTTCCAAACATTCACGTATTCTCACTGAATTATTTGAGTCATCGAACATAAAAATCTGTCTAGCCGTTTGCAAAAAAAATCGTTACGTACCTAGAGATCATACTAAACAAATTACTCTTCTTTGCGATAACATTTTATCAATTTTGGATTGTTTTTAACAAAATACTACTTAAGTTTTAAAATTAAAACACACTAAAAAAAAAACAACTAGTTATTTACAAACAACTGCAATGAAAATGATAAGAGGGAACAATCATATTGTTCATGGATAGAATGTTCATTTGCGGTATTTAATAGGCAATGAACTATGTTGAATGGAAAAGTTTTCGGAAATTTTCAAAAGAAATTAGAGTATCCATTGCAATAATGAGTTATAAGTGTTGTTATAATAGAAAAATAATTCTTGACGGTGGTAATAATTGTGGATATAATGGTTGATTTTTTTTTTTTGCTTAAAATTACTTCATAGAAAAACATTTTAGCCAAGAATTGCATGCCAAAAGCTACGATTTTTATTATTATTTCAAGGAATAATTCTGGATAAAATGGTAGAAAATATATTTGTTTCTTCACAATCATTGTTTTTAATCCAATAAAAGTATATAAAGCAATAATTAATGTAACGGAGATGATACATAAATATATATTTAAATAATGTACATATTGCAAAAAGTAAGAAAAATGAAAAAATTAATTTAGCCGTAATTCATAGTTTACAACAGTTTCTTATTAATAATCTTGAAGTTCCAAAAACCACCACCAGATTGCAGCACTTCACAGAGGGAGGATTAATACTACTTAAAATAAAACTACATAAATATAATTATAGCAAAAATGATTCTTAATCCATTCAAAAATATTTTAAAAAGTCTACCTAAACATCAACTTTTTTTCTTAAAAGAAACATAAATGAAATTCTTTATAAATTAAATAAATGATATTCAAATATTCTATCCAAAATAAAAAACAAAACAAAAACAAATTGTGGCTTTGCGATCCGCCAATTTTGAATAAGATGATATAAAATGCATCAAAAATAGCTTAAGTATTAAATAATAGGTAGCTTTGACTTTTCTTTCGGTGATAACCGCTTATTCCATCACATGTGAGGTTTTTAAAGATTTTTTTTTTTAATAGAAAAAATAAAAACAAATATGAACACATATGATGCATCCTTCGAAACTTCAACAAACTCAATAACCACAATTTTTTGACTGCACATCCTGACCATTTTTCATCCTTCCATTTTTGTATGCTTATATTGCTGAATATAAGCAATATTCAATTTATATGATTATGAAATTTATATGAATATATATGAAAATTTATATGATAATATATTAAGCAATAACGAAATTTCTCTGAAACCAAACATACATGTATTATATTGCTTTAAATACCTAACTTGTTTTAATAGATTTATCAGGGAAAAATTATGACTTGTTTTAATAAATTTATCGTGGAGAATAAATTGAATTTGGAATAAATAATTTTCTACTATAATACTTTATTTTGGCATTCGAAATTTTGATTTTTTTTTTTTAGAATTTTTTACTTCTACAAGATAGTAATAAGGAGCCGTTTTTTAAAAATGATTTTGATTTTTAAAAATAATGTTTCTTTGAGAAATA